TCTTGCTTGGCATGGATATATGTATACAAGGTGAATCTTCCCTTTGTCGGCGAATTTAGAGGTATGGCTGATCCCTCTTTTTTTGAGATACTGAGGCCTTAAGGAATTTTTTCTTTTTTCCTATTTAGTAGTTAATTTATATCCTTGTGTTTGTTTTTGATGTATGCTTTCTCAGTTCCTCTAGCAATACTCATCGAATAACATTGTTTAGATACACTGTTTAGGTTAGACAACAATGCTCCTTCTGTTTATGTTCAGACGGTGCCGTGCTTCTAGTCAGACATCTGTGCAGATCTGAAGCAGCAGGGATTCTACATAACCTCTGATGGTTACCTTAATGCAACATGTTGATTTAATTATGTCCAATGTTGTGCACTAACAACACATTTTTCATTTATTGTAGTATACTAAATGACATATTAGACAAATAGATAATCACATATTCCATCTTCTCTAAATTATATTCAAATTAAAACATAGTCCAAGAATCCTAATTTTAGGGTTTGTAAGTACCAAACTACCAACACACCAAAGCAGGGGAGTTCCAACACCCAAACTAGTTTCTCTAAATCCACAGTGAATAAACAGATGCCCTACAAAGCAATGACACATCAGAAACTACAATACTATTTGCAAGTTGAAACCTTGAAGATGTAACCATAGTTGAAAATGTTGATTTTATGCGGATATCCAATTTCTGAATGGATATATTCAAAATTTCAACACTAAAGACAAACTATATGTCGGAACTCGGTCGAATATTTGCGAATATTTTCTATGGATGTAACAATAAACTAAATATCCACCTCAAACTTTGACATAAAACAAATACAAAATGAATTACTAGCTCAAATTTTCATTAGGGGAAGAAGAATCACCTGATGCAAAAGATCTGCTTCACTTGAATAAGGAGACCACTGCACTATTGTTTCTACATTCAAATTCCAATCACCTGAAGACGAACGCATCAATTTGTTCCACTCTAGTCCAACTCTCTCATAGTCAAGCTAAAAATTTGAATGAAAATTGACAACCAAATCAACAGAAGCAAAACCCCACATAATGACATTTGAATGAAAATTGACAACCAAATCAACAGAAGCAAAACCCCACATAATGACATAAATAGTATGGTATTTAGAGATCAATGAAACATCTGTATTTATCAATTACTGGAAATATTGACCTCTTTAACCATTAATAAGGTTCAGATGATGAACAAAGCCAATATTTTCCTTCTAAAACCATTTACTCTCTCTTTTCTAAAAACATCAGTATCAGCTTTTCCAAGAGTTTTGTTTAATTTCAGAGAAAGAAAATGGTTACACACAAAATTTTCATTCTAATTGACTAATTATCGATAAAACTCATCGATGTAGTGTAAACATATGATTTAAATCGAAACCATCAACTAATTGAGCTACAAGTTAGAGTCATCCGCCAAGGGTAAACGAGTTAGTCTTAAGTTTGATTGCAACATAGGCATACCAGGAAATAAGTAACTGAAAGCTAAATGATTATAAAAGTTGGCAAGATGAATATGTGATGGCATAAATTTTCCCGACTTTTGTTAAAAAATTAAAAGCTCAGAAAAATGTACAGATGAAATTCATGAACAAAAAAATGTATCAGATACAACAATTTTCTTAGTCAAAACAACATCCTAGAGTAGTACAGGATAGATGAGCTCCTAGGAACTGGAAAAGGCGCAGTCAGTAAGTTGGGCAGTTGGGGAGTACAGCATGAACGAAATATGAGTTATCGATAGGAAAAAGAACTCTTGGGAAAGGGTGATTTTAAACATAAAAGCCATCTTCTGCAACTGAATTTACTTTCTGCCCACAATGAGACACGTTCGTTATGATTAAATAGTTTCGGTAACGTACCACTGTGGCCAAATTTTACATCAATACATACATATAATATAATATATTGTTTTATTGGCTTAGAAAAAAGATGACCTAAAGGAAGTCCTCATGTTTTCACCCTTTGGAATGGTTACTTGTTTAGCCATATGGCTAAAAGTTAAAATTCTGCAAAGCTTTCATAGCTCAGTTGGTTAGACTTAGAGCACCCGTATAGTAAAGGAGATGTCTTGAGTTCAATTCTCAATAAAGAAATATTTAGTTTTACATCTTATTTCTCACACCTTTTAAAACATATTTGACCTCTTATTAATCCAAAAAAAGTGTATTACTAATGGTTGGTTTGATGGAAAATTAATTCCCTGGTAATTTTTTTTCTTTGAAGGATAAAATAGCAATTTCAGAAATAATTTTGAAAAAACTTTGAAATTGTTTGGTTAGTTCATTATTTTTCTTCTATTTGATTTTGCATATTCCGTGACTATTCTCCTGTTTTCCAAATAAATCCATTTACCAGGCCTAATCAAACAGACCCAAAAGGAATAATATCTGGGAAAGAAAAATTCTTACCATGGGAACTACTATATCTTCCTTGGCCGTGCTACGCAAAAATGTATAGGACAACATTCCAATGGTCTGTGTGGGCCTAGTAGGAAGACAACAAAAAACATCAATTATATAAACTATGAACTAGACAGTACATAGGAACAATATTAAACCTAACAAGAAGCACATAGATATAGAAAAACATAGCAACTTAACGAGCACAAGAATGAAGATGAACTTCCCTTTATAAAATACACAAGTAGTTGTCATAGTGAACAAAAGAAAAACTATGGCTGTGTTTGCTTCCCGGAATCCGGGGCAGCCAGCAAATTGGCGAGATTTAGGGCAGAGAATGCTCAAGCAGATGATTTGGAATAAGCCCAGGGGCCAGGACAGTTTCCATTTTTTTTAGAAAACTGTTTCCTTTATACTTACATAGATACTTTAGATTTGGAATCTTTTTTCCATATTTTATGCCTCTAAAATATAGGCAAATACATAAAGACAGCCACCGGAGTATTCTTTACGACTTACTTGCAAGTATGTGTCCAGGAAATGTTACAATGGAGCACACGTAGAATAGTAGAAATCATATAAAAATGTGTGACAAAACGAACATATTCATCAAAATTTAGAGCCCTCTTAAAGAGATCATATTCAGTCTCAGAAAATTCTAATCACAAACAGTGTTTGTATATACCTCAAAAGGAAGAAAAAAAAGTTATTTGTGATCTGGGCATATAAATAAGGTCCAAAACAGCACACGGTTGTTCAAATCCCGAAATCCAGTCATATGATGATAGAATAATGGAAAAAACATTGATGTAGTAGGAGAAAGGAGAAGAATCAATGTCCTTGTAATTGATACATCAGAAACACAATGGACATAATGGACGGATACATATGATACAGAATGCAAAAGTAAATGGGATAATCAATATATGATTAATACTTTGACAAACTCAACTCAACCCAAGTATTTAAGTAACATAATTCATGGAAAAGAAAAAAAAAATTTAACAAATCCAAACCTTTCTCCATTTTTTCCTCGACAACGTGAGAAGACAATGACATCTGCTCCAAGTCTCATGGTACTCGTCTTAAATCCATTCCCATCTGAAGAGACAGAAATTACATGGGTGAGATAGGGAGGAGATTAGCTTCAAGAGAATTTAGATTAACAGCAAAATGTTCTATTATGCTAAAATTGGCTTTGTTCGTTCGTTTTCTTTTTTCTTTAGCAAAACCAAAGATTTCAATCATGGATGAGAAAACTGTCACCATTCAACATTTCAAAACGGTTATCATTATATGGATTTAAATCTACATTGTATGTTCAGATTACTAACATTGGCCAATAACATTTGCCAATTTGCTTTTCGCCGAGTAACCAAGTGACATGCACTGCCGCATTTTGTCAGGATTCATTCCACCACCATTATCTGCACAGAAACATCATTCTTAAATTCCACCATTGTGCAACAAACTATAGACAATATTTGGTTAAATAAAAATTTGAAAGTAATTACCAACAGAAGAAGCATTAGAAAAGCATTACAAACCAAAATGTCTACTGATAACATAGCACTGTGGTTCAATGAAGCTTTTTTGCTTACAACTCCCACACAAACAGACAACTTCTTTCTATCAGCTAAAATAGAGAATTTCTAAGTAGCATCAACACTTCAAGGGTTTATTTGTTGTTCGATAGCAGGATAACAAATTATAAGAAACCAAAATTTTCAACTCTTTGCCCATAGCTTCAATGCAATCCTACAACACCCTCAAAAAATGACAAATTCCTTTCTTAAACTGGAATAAAGAAAACACAAATTTCACCATGCATCTTCAGGGTTATTTTAGCCCCAGGCCTGAAGGATGTTACCTGGCCAAGAACCAAAACCCAATCCACATGATCTTTACTGTTGTGGTACTTTAATAGAAAAAACCAACTATTATGCAAAAGGTTCAATGTAAACAATGGATCCTGTAATTAACTTTTTTTGGCTAGATAAAAACCATAAATAAGTTTAAAAACGAAGTAGTCACGGTGAGGGAGGACCTCACCCACACCTAGAAAAAATTTGAAAGAAAACAGCCACTAAAGCAGGTACAAATACATCAGTAGCAGTAACTCCTAAAGCCATTAAAGCTTTTATTACTTACTCCCAATTAACAATCAGCTCTTCAATACAGTATATACCATGTTCCTAGGGCTAAGGTAAATGAAACATGCAAGGATGTACACCATGAAGATTTATATATGCATAAACTGGCTGTTGAATTCAAAAATAACTAATATACAGTATGTGAATAAATCAGTGGACAAGCTATGTACCTTCAATTAGCAACATCCTGGTCCCATCCTTCTTGTTTTCTAACATATCAACATTAACAAAAGTAGCTCCATAGCAAACCTAGAATAAAATATTAAAATTTGTATATTAAAAAACTAAAAATTAACAGATATCTTTGCAGAGATCATAATACAAATACCTCATCTAAAGCATTATCCAGAAGTTCCGCGAAAGCTGTGGATACATATAGCTAGAAGGTAAGTTAACTAACCGAAGAACAAATATGACCAAATGCAAAAATAGATCAATGAACATTACAATACTACACATTAAAGATTCCAGATAAAAACACCACCTTACCTCCAAGAGCCCATTTATGGCTAGTAGCATTTGAATGCAGAAACTTAGGATGAACCCTGACATGATCCATACCAACTGCATACACACAAGGAAAAATAAAATTCAACTAACATCGGTAAGCAAAGTCGTAACTTGTAAAATGAAGATGCATATTTTTTTTTTTATGAACAAAATATGATTAGAGTTAACACACAGGTTTCAAAGCTCTTATGCTACATACCGAATAAGTATGGTGAGGTTGAAATTCTAAGTATTAATTTAGTCACCTTCTGAGGTATTACAAAATTCACTTGTCCATGTGCTCCATGTTTCTAGAAGAAGACATACTTACAAGACTATATGTACCACGACAAATCTGGAGGCCCAAATACATTTACAATGATGGTTCCTCAAAGCTTAGATCAATGGTTGAATTTTGTTGTCAAACTATTTGACCACATATCCACAACAGTGGTTATCCCCGACATAGAAAAAGAAAAAGGCAGTCATTACATCTAATGCATACATACTCATATCCACAGAATACCCATGGTTTGAATTATTAGCCATTCTGGCTCTGCCAAGAGTCTTACATTCTCTTCCTTAATTCCTCCTCATTACAAATGTCTTCTACTTTGCAACTCTACAAGGACCCGTTCGGTCTCTATTTTCCATTGTTGATGAGGCGCTCTTTCCAAGTTTCAAAAGATAATGAGAAAACAGAACAGATACATCTCCTTTGTTTTTCCATTTTACTTATTCTGGTTAAAGAATGCAAAGGCAGGTTCTCTCAATCATCAAAAATGAATATCTTAACAGACACTGTCTATCTCTTTTTGCGTGTACTAATATAGGTTAAAGTTGGACTAATTCAATTTTCTTTGCCCGAATATGCTTGTGTTAACTTGATTCTGACAATTCAAGAAGTGGCGTATCTGGGCATGAAATATAAACCATCTGATTATTAATAACTAAATTGAGTTTAAGACCTTAGTGTGAGTTGTCCATGATGTGGTGTCTTTGGTCTGAGTTTTTGGAGTTTGTTCAGTAAATACTCGGCATGTCCAGGCTCAGTGAAGGAAGTGCGAGTTTCAGTCTAAGTCGCTTTGAGATGTCTTTTCTTCTAAAGGAGTCAAATTTAATTTTACATTTATATACAACACATGGTTGCAAGAAGAGAAACTTTGCAAGGGCGTAAATGGGAATCATTCATGAGCTAGTGTATTATGAAAGAAATAGTACAGTCGATAATCATCTCAATGTCTCATGCATTAATACTATCTACTTCTACTTAAAAACATATTAACAAGCAAAAAGTTCTAGTTGTAAGATGAATTAGGCTTCATATATGCATGCATTCTAAAAACTGATGTAAACAAGATTCTTGAATATTCAGTTAAGATTCTTGTAGTAGAGATTCATATATGCATTTTTTCCAAAAAAAACATGAACATTGCACCACAAAATTCAAAAAAACATACCAGTGGAAGTAGAAGAAGCCGCATCAACAGGAGAAGAATCTTCATAATCACCAGCTTTCCAAAACTGCTTACAAGCCGAAGAAGTAGAAGGTTGAGAACATCGAATTGGTTCAGGAAGAGGTAATATTACTTCTTTTTCAGGAGGAGGAGGAGGAGGAGGAAGTGGATCGAGAAATCCAAGAGGCAAAACAATTCCCAAATTATCAAATCTCTGTTTCTTCTTCTTCTTCCTCTTACTTAAATCTCCATTACTCTCAGCATTTGAAACCCTAGACCTCTTTCCATTACCAACAGTTTCATCATCATCATCATCTGAACAAGAAGATGATGAATCGGACTCACTACTACTGAGTTCAATTACAGAAATCGGTACAGAAGTCTTTAAATTACTATTATTATTATTACTAATTTTTTCTTGTTTTATCGGAATTTCGAAGGTTTCTTCTTTAACAAGAACATCCATGGTTTTGAAGTTTTCTTCAACAACAAGAAAGAGAAAATCAAATTAAAATTAGGGTTTCCACAATGAATAAGAAGAAGAAGCTACAAGACAGAGGTTTAGTTACAAGTGTTGGCACAGTTTACGGTGGTG